CTTTAACTTAACTTGTTTGTCAGGGCTTTACTGACACGAAGTTGCATTCCCTAGCCCGCAGTCTTTGCCCCACCCTATCTCTGCTCGCCGTTGTTGTTGCCTGCCGTTAATTCAAGGCCTCATTAATTTCCGTCACCCCTGAGTAGGTGAGGGCGGTTGAACCTTGGAGTCAGTTCTGGTTTTTGTCTGCCTGCTTCTTCTTGTGTCCCCTGACCCCGGGAGTTATTATTCTACTTTATGGCCTGTCGAAGCCCCACTCGCTGTTGCTGGGCTGGTGTTGTTCCCGGCTTTTTGCTTACGTTTGCAGTTCGCCGTGCTCTTGATTTCCTTCCCTCTTCAACCTTATATTGACTATTCGCTCCTGTCTGGGTGCGATTCAATTTTGACTTAGGAAGGTTCTGATTGTCATATGCTTCGGGTCGAATTGTATAGAAAGTATTGAAGTATGGAAATAACATTTCATATTGACTTAATAATGGTGATGGTTCAGTAGGCGTAACTTGTGACCTGGTTTAATTGGAGTGGGTGTGAATATCAAACTTTAGCCTACCCTGTTGTTAAATTCCGACTTTAACGTTACTTTAATAGCAATACAGAATAATTGAGCTTTTTGTCTTAACTAGGCGAATGCGAACTTCTGGTGACCCCGCAGCCTTGTTGTTCAGCTGGGTCTGCCTCCTTGAGAGATATACACCACTCTTAATTCTCGTCTCACTGTGGTCATCCAACCTTCTGCTCTGGGAGTGTTATTCTTACTTTCAGGTCAAAGGCCCCCTCACATCCAGACGCGCAGGGTTGTTTACATCAGCTCCCCCCCTGTGCACGTGTTCTAACTAGCTCGGAATTCCTGAACACACAATCAGTGATGATTCCTGGCTTTCTGTGGTTGTGATTTAGACAAAGGCGCCTCTGTTTTCTTCCATTGCCTTTGAGTCGACACTGCCCTATTATTTGCCCATGTGCTGAGGTCATAGAATTCGTTTTGACTTCAGTAATATTAACATTCAGTATTGGATTAGCAAATGGGCAATGGTTCATTGATGTAGCTCGCAGCCTGGTCTCCAGTTTGAGCGAGCGCGAGGATCGATAATTTAGCCTACTCTGTTGTTGAATTTCGAATTTTGACGTTACTTTAAAACCATGCAGGATGATTGGGCTTTTGCCTTAACTATGTCTGGCTGACACTCCCACTGTCTCTGCCGCCTGCACGGGTGACATGTGCCCGTTCATCAGGCCTTATCTTCCCTTGAAGCAACGTTGTAAATTCTGCCATCCTAACCCTCCTCCGGTTCATTACTTAACAACACCTGGTGTTTTGCAGTTTGCTGCGCTTGGTGTGTTTCACTCATTAAAAAAAAACAAGTAAAAAGATAATATATAAAAATCATCAAATATTATTAATCTCAATTATGGAAGAAGGGTTAGTATACAACAACGGCTTGCCAAAGATACATAAAGAAGATACACCTCTTCGTCCCATTGTCTCTACTATCAACTCCCCCACTTACAAACTGGCTCGTTTTTTGTCCGAAATCCTACGGCCTTTCACTGGAAAAACCACCTCTGCAGTACTAAACTCTACTGACCTGGTATCGACAATCAAGGGGATTGCCCTGTCCCCAGACGACCTGCTTGTCAGTTTTGATGTGGTTTCCTTGTTCACCAAGGTACCTGTGCCTGACACCATCGCAATCATTGAAGACTTGGTTCATCAAGGACTGAATGCTGGGGTACCCCCCCTGGTGAGACACTGCTTAACCAATACATACTTCACCTGGAATGGAACCTTCTACAAGCAAATTGAGGGCACCCCAATGGGCTCCCCCCTATCTCCGGTTGTAGCCAACATCTTCATGGAGAAATTTGAGACGGACGCCATCCAGACTGCCACTCTACGCCCGACCTTATGGAAGAGGTACGTAGACGACACTTTTGTCATCTGGCCACATGGCCGGCCTGCTCTAGACCAATTTCTCGACCACATCAATTCCATACACCCAGCCATCAGATTCACCATGGAAGTCGAAAATGATGGCAAGCTACCCTTTTTGGATGTCCTAATCAAAAGGAGACTTGATGGTTCAATGAGCCACTCTGTCTACAGGAAAGCCACCCACACGGATGCTTATCTAAAACCGGATTCCCACCACCATCCATCTCAGAAGAATTCCCTCATCAAGACTCTATATCATAGAGCCCAATGCATCTCCGACCATGAACACATTTCCAGTGAACTCAAACACGTACGCCAAGCTCTTAAGGCAAATGGTTACTCCGACTATACAATCCGCAAAGCCATCACTCCAACCATCAAGAAGGATCCTGTTGAGGAGCCTTTCAAGACCATCACCTTACCCTACATTGCTGGGGTCACAAAAAAGATCTCCAAAATCCTGATTAAACACAAGATCCAGGTCCGATTCAACACAGTACATAAAATCCGTGATCTGGTACCGTCTGTAAAAGATGTGGTTCCAGACATACAGTACCCTGGCGTCTACAAACTAAGTTTCCTCTGTGGTAGCAGTTACATTGGGGAAACCAAACGACATGTCTCGGACCGCATCCGTGAACATAAAGCTGACCTGAAACACGGTAGGACTAACACCTCAGCCGTGGCAGATCACTGTTACAACTCAGTGGGCTCACATGATATTGACTTCTCCAAGACAGAGGTTCTCTGCAAGCCATCTGGCTATCATGAGAGATTCGTTCATGAGGCGATCCACATATACAAACACAGAGACAACTTTAACCGAGAAGATGGATTCTGGCTCAGCAATCATTGGAAGGACGTAATAAACCATTTCGATACACATTAGGGTGTGTAGAATAATACATAGTGTGATATTAAATGTATAAGATATAGGTTGGTTTACAGCAATACAGTATATAATTTAATGTTGGGTTTATCTATGGCAGTATATAGTACGGTATATGCTCGTGTGATGTAAGAGAATAAGGTTTAGATGGAAGCGTATTATAGAATTTTTACGAGGTAAAATTGTAATGTATTACTTGCTGTTAGTAACTCAGCTTATTATAGAGTATAGTAAGTATACTGATGGTGCGATGCAGTTTATACTTTAGTTTTTTATGTAGTTTATACTTTAGTTTTCTACGTGGTTGTTGAGTAACTGCAGCTACATATCATTAACATTCCTTTCCTTTGTTACTGCTAATCCCTGCACCCCCCTTGGTTGCTGCTGATCCTGTATAATGCATGGGCATAATATGACTTTGACACCCCCCCGCCCAACGCCTACGCATTTTCCATGAATATGCTAAATCCCTCTTCACATGCACATTCTTTTTGTTAAGGCGCTCTTCAACCCCCAATGCAGCTTATATATAAGCTCCTAGTTTGGTAGTGTCTCATTCTTCACCTGAAGACGGCTGCTTGCGTTGTAGCCGAAACGTCGTGAGAATTGTTTTATTATGTTTTATTTTTATTATTTTATTACTTCCCTTCTACGTGACTTTACCGAAAGAAACAAGAAGATAAATTAGTGTTGTTATAATAATTATATTTATATTTATTTAAAGTTGTGCATTTTGACGTAACATCACATTTCTAAAACCTCCCCCCCCCCCCTCGTCACACATCACCACAAATGTCTGACCCCCCTCCCCCCCTTAGGTGTGTGACGTCATTTATGGACGGCCCCTTATTTTCTATCTACGTGACTACCGAAAGAACCAAAGAATGTGAATTCCTGCGGTCTCGAAAGTTTTAAGTCAAATTCTATACCAGGGATCTTTTTAATTTTCGGGTCTGCATCTCTGTCCTCCTGCCAGCAGTGAGCCCTCGACACTTCACGTGACGGCCTCAAAGTGCACCTAGCCTGCCACAGGCGCCGTGGTGACGTCACCGCCACTTTGTGGCGAATGGCGGTTTTTGTTGTTGTGTCTGCGCCGGTTTGCAACTTGCAGGCCGGCCATGCCCACGATCCATTGTGGGTTTAACCTGCAGGCTGAGTCGCAGTGTGAGGAGCTCACAAAGATCTGGACAGGGTCCCTATCATCGGCGAGCTCCTCCAAGGCTGCTTTGACTGGGTCATGTAGCCCGCATGCCCAGCCACCGCACGCCCAAGCAGCTTCTCTTTGGCGGCCGGATAGAGGGGGGCTAAACGGGTGCGGTACGGGCTGGGGATAAGATGGCGTTGATGCGGTACAGGAGGATGTGGAGCTGAGTGGACTTGCCGATGCCTGGTACCAGAGGTGTCAAGATCGGCCTCTGTGGAGGAGGAGGCTCGTGAAGGACGCTGCTACTGGGCAGTTGGAGGCAGTCGCCCTCCAGCAACAACGTAGGGTAGAGGAGCGACGCTCACAACAACGAGCAGAGCGCCGTGCGACTAAAACGCAGCAAGTTTGCACAGTAGGGGGCACAGGTGGTGCATCTGCTCATCATCTCAGTCAGAATCAGAATCTTTATTGTGACTGCAGGAGAAGGAATCCAATGAGCTATTAAGCTCTTTTCTACATATGTCCAGTATGAGCATGGAGAGTCAGCGATTTTCAACGGCAAACACGATACACACAAACACACGATATGAGTTTAAGTCCGATTTATCAAGATTGGGCAAGGCAGCAAAAATAACAACAGAACAGTTGCTAACCGCGCTAATCGGAGGTGCTGGGAAAGGACAACACATCAAAAAGCAGCAGTTCTAAAGAAATTAGTTTGTCAATTTTTATGATGATTTAAAAGTGCATCGTCGCTGCCAGTGGCTTCCTCATACCGGAGAGGAAGAGTGTTCCAGACATCCGCCACAAGCAGCAGCAGCAGCATCTGAAAGTGCCACGCGACGCAGCGGCGACCACTGTCTGTGTTCGACGGTTAGCAACTGGTGTTCGTGGTTTCTAGCTTGTTTGCGATATTCATAATAATGAATTAATATTGGTCGCGAAAGCCTACGTGTTAAACTTGTTTACGATACTTCACAGGGGCAGGGCGGGGGAGATTAATTTTCCTTCGTGTGCCTCACTCTTTGCCGCAGTGCCAGGACAGGAACGATGAACGAGGGAGGAGAGATGAAGATCTACTGCCCGATTTGCAACTGGGTGGTGATCAGCCTGTCCGCCCTGGAGGACCACATGAAGCAACACAGGCGCCGGACCGAGTCCGTGCTGTACCAGTGCCCCCACTGCCCGTACAGCACGGACAAAGCGGCCACTTTGATCGGCCACCAGAGGAGCCACGCTGACGATAAGCCCTACAAGTGCTGGGTGTGCGATGAAGTTTTCGCGAATTCGGGAGACTTCTGCTCCCATCAGAGCGTGCATATGAAGCGGGCGCGACGCGGGAAGGCGTTCTCCCCACCGCCAGGAGACGTCTCACCGGACAGGAGGATCCGCGCAGACGAGAGGCCCTACTGCTGCAACGTCTGCGGGGAGGACTTCACTCAGTCGCACCACCTCCTCAACCACCAGAGGATCCACACAAGCAAGAAGCCGTACGCATGCACCGTGTGCGGCAAGACGTTCACTCACTCGGCCGTCCTCGTCGCCCACAAGCGGATCCACACGGGCAAAAAGCCGTACAGGTGCGCCACATGTGGCAAGGCATTCAAGCAGTCGGGGACGCTCTTCAACCACGAGAAGACCCACGCGGAAGAGAAGCCCTATGGGTGCGCGGCGTGCGGGAAGCGATTCGTCCAGTCGAGGGGCCTCGTCATACACGCGAGGACCCATACAGGCGAGAGGCCGTACAGGTGCTCCACGTGCGGCAAGTCCTTCGCCCAGTCGGGCACCCTGCGCATCCACAAGCGCACCCACACGGGCGAGAGGCCGTACGCGTGCGACGTGTGCGGCAGCTCGTTCACGCACTTGGGCACCCTCCACGTGCACAAGAGGACGCACGCGGGCGGGAGGCCCTTCGCGTGCCCCAAACGCGGGAAGGCCTCCTCCGGGTCGGGGAGCCTCCAGGCGCGCCGCCACACCCGCGAGAGGACCGGGCTCCACGAGGGTGCGACTGCCACTGGGCAGGTCGTGGCAAGCCTCGGGGGCGAGGGTCCCGCGACGACCCCCTCGGCGATCCCCTCAGCGACCCCCTCGGTATCGCTAACATCAGAACACGGAGAGACTCTCAGCTTCGAGACGTGGCCGGGGGTTAAGGTGGAATGCGACGGTGAAGATCCTTCCGCCTCCCTGTCGATCGTGAAGCGGGAGCACGATGGGATCGCCAGCGTCGAGACTTGGCCAGGGGTGAAGGTAGAACTGGGGGGGGAGGATTCTTCAGTTCCCTTCTCGATCGTGAAGCAGGAACGGGAAGAAATCCCCGGCTGTGAGACGCGGCTGGGGTGAAGGTGGCACACGGGAGGCCGAGTCTCTGTTTTGGGAACGGATGTTGAGGTCTATGTGGGAAGTTTTGTTTCGAAAAGGGTTGCCATCCCAAGGTGGTGTGTTAACTATTAGCTAGTCATGAAAAGCATTGTTCTCTCCCTTGAACCGCATGAATAGAGACAGCTTTCTTTCAAGCCTAGTCTCAAACGGTGTCTCTGGTGTGGACCAATCTGTTTTTGCATTCTGACCACTATTAGCTAGTCGTGTGGTTAATGCAGGCACGATTCCTTGTAAAAGGTTTAAGTTTGGTGTTTTAACATCTGAACACCTGTTTTGTTGCCAGAAAAAGGGGAAAACCTATTCTCATATTTTGGTACTGGCAACGGAGGTCCCATAATCATATTTATTTAATTGCATAATCTTGCCAATTAATTGGTTGATGCCCCCTTTTTGCCATTGGGCACATGTTTATTTAGCACGTTTCCATATGAATATTGTCACTTTTAAGGACTTTCCTATCGTTGTGTATTGTTGCTTTACTATGAAGAGTTAGCCTATTGTTCTATTGCTCAGTCTAACAATGTAACCATTGAGGGTAAATTGGACGGATTGATGAGTAGGACATCTTCAGGAGTACTGTTGTGGCAATTCCGATCATAAGTGTGTTCGCATATTAGAGTGTTTTTAGATGTTCAAGTTACTTAACACAGCAGAGTCTGAGTGGTTCCTTCCTAAGTTCATGCATATTAATTTTAATTATATGAACTGTATCCTGCAGCGAGCTCTGAGTCCCAAGACTGGAAATAATTACACTAAAACATAATCAGTAAAAGTTGAAGCGAGAATCATGGCATTATCACGATTGGTAATACACCCATAGACAACGAAGCCTAGCCTAATTTACATAATTACAAACATTTGCATAATTTCTTAAATTTGCATAATTTCTTGAAATGGCATTTATTATTTATATGTTTCTTTTTCAAAATAATATATACAACATAACCGAGAGAGATAAATGTTGAGAAAATGCCGCGCGATACATCGGCCGTTCGAAATGGCGCAAGCGCGTCTGCACGACTGTTAAGGTACACAACGTGGAGGCAATATCTTTTCCTCTGAACAGATACACGTGAAGTGAAAACTACGTAGACTCTTTGTTTTACTTTACCAGGTAAGGCCCACCACTGAGCCATGTAGCTCTTTTTCGCAAGCGACCTGACCATCACAAATTATACTCCATAAATGACGTCTATCGATTTTGGACGATTCTTACCCCCCCCCCCCTTCGTCACACGGCGTCACAAAAAGTCAGACCCCCCCTCTCACATATGACGTCACAAATTGCCTCCCCCCCCCCCAAAATCCTAAAATAAAACATGCTTCAAATCGCGTTAAACTATTGTCATTGTAGTGCATATTTAATGTTGCGCTGCACTCTGATGATGTAGGAGAAAACACTTATAAAAAAGTATTTAATTAAGTAGAACGTGTTGTCTATATTTATTTAAAGTTGTGTATTTTGATGTGACGTCACATTTATTAACCCCCCCCCCCCCTCGTCACACATCACCACAAATGTCTGACCCCCCCCCCCCCCTAGGTGTGTGACGTCATTTATGGACGGCCCCTTCTAAACGCCTGGTGATGTTGATTCTAAATGTCGGGGGGTGGGAAGGGGAAACTGGAGGACCCGGAGAAAATCCACGTGAACCACGGGGAGAGAGACACGTGCACCACGGGGAGAGAGACACGTGCAAATTCCACATATACAGCAGCCCGTGTCAGAGCTGGGATTGAACCCACGACCTGTATACCAGACGATGTAGTTAACATCTCACCACCCTATCATCCAACGGTGGAGAAGACACCAAACCAAATTTTGAAACAACGCCTTTTGGGGACCTTTGGCGATCTGGAGGTATGGGCGAAGCAACATGCATGGATGGATAACGTGCAACGGACTTTAAACTTTGGTAAACACCAGAGGTGTGGACTCGAGTCATGTGACTTGGACTCGAGTCAGACTCGAGTCATGAATTTGATGACTTCAGACTCGACTTGGACTTGCATAACAATGACTTTGTCCCACCTCTGGGGTGTGGACTCGAGTCATGTGACTTGGACTCGAGTCAGACTCGAGTCATGAATTTGATTACTTCAGACTCGACTTGGACTTGCATAACAATGACTTTGTCCCACCTCTGGGGTGTGGACTCGAGTCATGTGACTTGGACTCGAGTCAGACTCGAGTCATGAATTTGATGACTTCAGACTCGACTTGGACTTGCATAACAATGACTTTGTCCCACCTCTGGGGTGTGGACTCGAGTCATGTGACTTGGACTCGAGTCAGACTCGAGTCATGAATTTGATGACTTCAGACTCGACTTGGACTTGCATAACAATGACTTTGTCCCACCTCTGGGGTGTGGACTCGAGTCATGTGACTTGGACTCGAGTCAGACTCGAGTCATGAATTTGATGACTTCAGACTCGACTTGGACTTGCATAACAATGACTTTGTCCCACCTCTGGGGTGTGGACTCGAGTCATGTGACTTGGACTCGAGTCAGACTCGAGTCATGAATTTGATTACTTCAGACTCGACTTGGACTTGCATAACAATGACTTTGTCCCACCTCTGGTAAACACTCTAGAGCGGTCGTTCTTAACCTTATCTGCAGCCTTGCACCCCGTTGGTTCTCAATCCTTACAAAAAATGTATCATGTTAATAAATACGCAGGGCTTGATGAAACAAATTGTGGACTTACGTGCCCATGCTTAGTTTGTGTTTAAGATTTACCTTTAAAAAAATCTGTCCATTTCTCGCACACCCCCAACAAATGGAATCTGGGTGAATGATTGTTAAATCTAGGCAGTGTTGAGTCTATGGGTAGCAGTGTTGAGGCTATGGGTAGTGTTGAGTCTATGGGCAGTGTTGAGTCTATGGGTAGTGTTGAGTCTATGGGCAGTGTTGAGTCTATGGGTAGCAGTGTTGAGGCTATGGGTAGTGTTGAGTCTATGGGCAGTGTTGAGTCTATGGGTCGTGTTGAGTCTATGGGCAGTGTTGAGTCTATGGGTAGTGTTGAGTCTATGGTTAGTGTTGTGTCTATGGGTAGTATTAGTCTATGGGTAGTGTTGAGTCTATGGGTAGTGTTAGTCTATGGGTAGTGTTAGTCTATGGGTAGTGTTAGTCTATGGGTAGTGTTGAGTCTATGGGGCAGTGTTGAGTCTATGGGCAGTGTTGAGTCTATGGGTAGTGTTGAGTCTATGGGCAGTGTTGAGTCTATGGGTAGTGTTGAGTCTATGGGCAGTGTTGAGTCTATGGGTAGTGTTGAGTCTATGGGGCAGTGTTCGGGAGGTTAAAGGCGAGGCCATGTCATCTATCCAGCGACCAAATTGTCTACCGCATCGCACGACGTCACGTCTCACTGTTTGCAGACACGTCACGCCCTTCGTTGCCATTGACGTCACGTCTCTTCGCCCCCACCCCATCGGTCGTGACGTCACGTCACCTCGTCCTCCACCGGTCGTGACGTCATCACCCCAACCGCTCGTGACGTCACGCCGGCGTTGCTTGCTCCCACTTTTCCTCCCCCCCCCCACGTCATTCGCACGCGACGGAAGGAAGCCGACGGGGAGGGAGCGGAGGTTGTGGGTGAGAGACCGTGGGGGAGAGGCCGTGGGGGAGAGGCCGTGGGGGAGAGACCGTGGGGGAGAGGCCGTGGGGGAGAGGCCGTGGGGGAGAGACCGTGGGGGGAGAGACCGTGGGGGAGAGGCCGTGGGTGAGAGGCCGTGGGGGAGAGGCCGTGGGGGAGAGGCCGTGGGGGAGAGACCGTGGGAGAGAGACCGTGGGTGAGAGACCGTGGGGGAGAGGCCGTGGGGGAGAGACCGTGGGGGAGAGGCCGTGGGGGAGAGGCCGTGGGGGAGAGACCGTGAGGGAGAGGCCGTGGGGGAGAGACCGTGGGTGAGAGACCGTGGGGGAGAGACCGTGGGAGAGAGACCGTGGGGGAGAGGCCGTGGGTGAGAGGCCGTGGGGAGAGGCCGTGGGGGAGAGGCCGTGGGGGAGAGACCGTGGGAGAGAGACCGTGGGGGAGAGGCCGTGGGGGAGAGGCCGTGGGGGAGAGACCGTGGGAGAGAGACCGTGGGTGAGAGACCGTGGGGGAGAGGCCGTGGGGGAGAGGCCGTGGGGGAGAGGCCGTGGGTGAGAGACCGTGGGGGAGAGGCCGTGGGGAGAGGCCGTGGGGGAGAGGCCGTGGGGGAGAGACCGTGGGGGAGAGGCCGTGGGGGAGAGGCCGTGAGGGAGAGGCCGTGGGAGAGAGACCGTGGGGGAGAGGCCGTGGGGGAGAGGCCGTGGGTGAGAGGCCGTGGGAGAGAGACCGTGGGGGAGAGACCGTGGGAGAGAGACCGTGGGTGAGAGACCGTGGGGGAGAGGCCGTGGGGGGAGAGACCGTGGGGGAGAGGCCGTGGGTGAGAGACCGTGGGGGGAGAGGCCGTGGGGAGAGACCGTGGGGGAGAGGCCGTGGGGAGAGACCGTGGGGAGAGGCCGTGGGGGAGAGGCCGTGAGGGAGAGGCCGTGGGAGAGAGACCGTGGGGGAGAGGCCGTGGGGGAGAGACCGTGGGTGAGAGACCGTGGGGGAGAGGCCGTGGGTGAGAGACCGTGGGGGAGAGACCGTGGGGAGAGACCGTGGGGGAGAGACCGTGGGGGAGAGACCGTGGGAGAGAGACCGTGGGTGAGAGACCGTGGGGGAGAGGCCGTGGGTGAGAGACCGTGGGTGAGAGACCGTGGGTGAGAGACCGTGGGGGAGAGACCGTGGGGGAGAGACCGTGGGAGAGAGACCGTGAGGGAGAGGCCGTGGGAGAGAGAGACCGTGGGGGAGAGACCGTGGGGGAAAGACCGTGGGGGGAGAGACCGTGGGGGAGAGACCGTGGGGGAGAGACCGTGGGGGAGAGACCGTGGGGGAGAGACCGTGGGAGAGAGACCGTGGGGGAGAGGACCGTGGGGGAGAGGCCGTGGGTGAGACCGTGGGGGAGAGACCGTGGGAGAGAGGCCGTGGGGGAGAGGCCGTGGGCGAGAGACCGTGGGGGAGAGACCGTGGGAGAGAGACCGTGGCCGAGAAGACCCGAAGCTTTGTGTGGAGCAACAGACCAGGTAGCTTCCACACAGCGTTGCACAGCCGATGAGAAAATAATGCCACTCGACTGATTCGAAGTGAGACCACTGCCCAGGTATGGAAAATTCTCCACTCTCTCCACAACTGCCCCATCACCAATTTTGAGTTGTGGGGGTGGAGTGTCCGATGGTACAA